GGTGTGCCAAAAGTATTGTCCCACTAATTTCATTTTCACTTCCATATTCTCTATTTGAGCAGGGAGGATGATATATAGTCAGGAAGGTAAAATCAGTTTAGGTTACCTCCTTTTATGCTAAGGTTGCCTACTGCCTAAGTTGCGGGAATTTTATGATTTGGGGTCTGAACTATTTAAAGTCACAATAACTTCATGCTCTTTCTGGCTACTCTAGGCAACTATACTAATTATTGATTTCTTGGATGCCCTTTACTTTGCTTAATAATATAATTTTATAGTTATCTGGTCAAAGGACCACAGAATGCAAGTGAAAATGCAAACAGAATGCAATAGTTTGATAATGTTCAATAAATGTAGGTCAGTGTGAATTTGTAAAATGATGCAGTTCCATGCAGAATTATGAAAATCTGTATATTGCTGAAATCATCACTTGAAGACCTTTCGAAAAATGCCAGGAACAATATTATATGTGTATTTTTAACCTTTATACAGACAGCAGGAGCACTGTCAACCAAATTTGCATCTCATAGCTGGAACCAACACCACTGCCTGCTGCATAATGAAGTATCAGAATAACAATAAGTTACCTTGTCATATGAAAATGCTTTATTTTCAAACTATATAAAGCAAATAATTCTATCATCATTAACAAATCAATAGCAACTTCACAGATTTGTTACACAAGATCATTTTTAATTGTAGGCTTTGAGCCATACATTGATAATCCTATGCCTATTTTCAATTACACAAAACATTCCCTATCACAAGGAAACCACACTTTGTGTTACCCACTATATTCACTTTTTAAACAAAAAAATGCATCCTAAACTTGTGCTAATAGGCATTGATATTCTTCTCATTTGTTGAACAATTTTCAGATCATAATAAGACACTACATGTGTCAAAACTTACACATATTTCTCTACAAAGGTATTTCTCTACAAATCTGTGTGGGAGAAACTCTGATTGGACTAAGCTTATATGGGAAGCCACGTTTATAGGAAGATGCAGTAGCTACACTGCTCTTAATATACTGAAATAAGCTTTAAGATAATGAAAAGATCATGTGCTAAAAAAAATTACCCGCTTTTCTAGTTATAACAGTTTAATAAGCAGTACTATTCCAACTATGAAGCATGCAACAGATCATTTGTAAAAGTAGAACAAGATTATTAATTAACCTAAAACATGTTTTGCATTCACAGGACTCTCTTTCTCCCAAAAAGTTTGGTGAAGCTTTAGAAACGCAAGCCAAACAATTTGCCCATATTCAGTTGTCCCTCTTCACACTGAACCATGAAAGGTTCATCCTGAAGCAAATTTGGTCCAGATTCCACAGAGTATCATGCATCATAACTGGTATTCATAATATACAACCCCAAGAAAAGATTGCTTACTATTGCTCAATGAACCTAAGATATATACGAACAAAGAAGACTGACAGTAAGTGTAAGGGTTTAGTCCAAAGATCATTTAATTTCAATGAATTTTCAATTGACTTTAATGAAATTTGGATTTACTTTCACTGGGCAGGCATACATGTAGAAAGTTGCAAGCATGAAATTTCTCAATAAACACATTTACGTGTAAGCTATCTGGAAGTCTAACTCTATTTGGAGGTCTAAGTTTATGTCTTTAGTGTCACTTATACACATTTTTCTGTATGGTAACAGTTAAACCTCCTGCACAGTGCATAACGTGTGTTAATCTCCTAATGTGTGAAACAGTATATTCATATCCAACTACTTTTAGATTCTCTGCTTTTGTTGCTCCTATTCAAATTCTTGAAAGTATGGTAAAAGAGATGAAAGTTTCAGGTTCAAATAGGTTTAGAATAAATCTATATTTATGCTAAAACATCTATGCTTTCCAGTCAAGCAATGTTTGGACTACTATGTATCCTTTGTTTTGTACTGTGTCTCAGGAGAGAATCATCTTGGGAGCTATTATCCCTGAGACAGAACTGTCTGCGTGTTCTATATGACAGTGCAGAGCAGTATAATGCACGATAGCAATATTTTAGCACAACTGGCAAAATGTGTAGGCTGAAAAAGTATGTTGAAAATTATTTGTAACCGATTAAAAAACCTCAAATTTTAAATAGATTATGGTAGAACATTAATGAGAACATGTGATTATCAGGAAGGATCACGATGATTTGGATGATAGTACTGTCTAAAAAGATCATGAATTGCATTGAACTTCAACAAGTATTTTAGAGTTCAATTAATTTTAGCAAATAATGATTATTAATCATTCATTCAAAGTAATCTGGTAAATGCAGATTAATGACAATGGGAAACATTTTGCATCCCATTATAATTACATCTGTAATACAATTTTATATTTTTTATCATTATTTGGGGATTTTCATCACCAGTTGTGTTCTAAATAACAAAGCTTCCACATCCACTGTTGGGAAGAAGTACATGAGTATATAAGGTAATGAATAAACTGTAGTAATAAGTTGATAGACATTTCATCAGTTATAGATAGCAGTACTAAAGCTGAATAGAGGACTCTGATCAAAAAGGAACAAGAAACAGTGTGAAATATGTAAAACATAGATCATACACTCTGATATTGAAGGTAAAGTGACATAAAATAAAAGAACAAAGTTGATACTATATGCATTTTCTATTTATTCATTTGTTTATGATTGATTGATATAGAACAAAGAGTTTCCAAGTAAAAATGCTTATGTACCTACATGCAGTGACTCTGAAATCTGTACCTTAAGGACAAAGAAAGGTCGCCAATCTCTTCAACTCCTAGTTCTTTGTCAAAAATGGACACAGTTAATGAGGTTTGTTTGGTACAGCACAAATTCTCAGACACAGATAGAGATCCTTTCAATGGAAACAAATTTGTTTGGCTTTACCAGGTTACTTAGCGATTAATAATAGCCTTGAGATGCAGGTCAGAAAGGTCATCATCCCTGCTTGCCAACACAATCTAAAATGTGCAGCTAGTCCGGCTCTGCAGGCTTTGACGCCCCGAAACGCTATGCATACAGTAAAACAGGCTATTTTCCAACTTCTTTTTTCATATTAATAAGCAATTTTCAAGAGAAGGGTGGCAAAATGGGGGCCATGCCACTCTAAGTAATTCATTTATTTTGCAATTTAATCTTATGTTGGAAAAAAATTACACTGCTGCAAAAGCATAGCATGGTGATTTTTAAACGTCAGTGTGCTTCATAAGTAACCTTGTATGAAATATTGTATTAGCAGCCTTTAACAGTAAACTGCAACAAAAAATATTTCCAGAGATTGAAATAGACCTATGCATCTTTTCTGATCTTTATTTCCTTTTCATTCTATTTTTTTTTACATTTGAAATAAAACATGCTTAATTACTTGATATTTTACTTAATTTATTTGATAAAAACTTGAAATATAGCATGAAACAAAAGTTCTACATGGGAACTTGTATTTAAGAATGTGATTTCATAGTGCTTATATTTATAACACATTTATTGCTCTTTCACATATTTTGATGAACTAACTTAACATTATGATAATTAAAATATTAAGAATAAGTCTGACTCACAATCTTAAAAACACTTTCAGGAGCAATATGACTTTCCCATGGGGTTACTTATATCAGCAAATTTATTCATGTGCATATTTTGACAGGGTTTGACCCTTGTCCTAGAGAGTCTTATTTGGTACTCGCTGAAACAACCAAGATTATTAATATGGACCCCTCTAAATAATCTGTTTTGCTGGAATATTTGAATTATCTAGATATGTGAATAGTATATTTTTCTTTGCTTTTTATTTTATCATACACACACATGCTTAAAAAATAAAGACTAGAATTTACGCACTAAATTAACTTTTAAACAATCTAAATGCTTGACTGAATGCGCTTGGTGTCTATGGCACACAGGTTAATTTGAACTAGCCATTTCTTAATAACAAAAGTAACAAGTGTTAATCAAACTAACCTTTTTTAACTGGGTCAAAGATATTCCATACACATGCACTATGCACAATAGCACGGAATTTCGTTTCTTATAGAACATTAGTTCACTCCAATGTTTGCATAATTTATGGCAAGTCTGGCTCTGTGAAAAAAGCCATTGAGGAGAAAATCTTCGCCCATTTTCTGTTAAAGTATTCGTCTAAACATTCAGTGAAAATCATGAGTTTTCTCCATTCTTCAAGAGCTTGTATTAGGTACAGTTCCTTGTTTCTTTTATCATGTAAGAATTCTCTACGACCTATTGAATACACAGACCCACCCATGTAGAAGACACTCTGTGTTTGCAAACCTCCGTAACCCATGAGGCAGTCACGTTCCTGTTTCTTGCGCTGGCCTGTACTGTTGCTTTCAGACCAGAGTAGAAAGTGACCTGTGCAAGAAGCCTCATGCTATGGAAACTCCTCTAAAGGACATTGCACGCATAAAAGGTTTACATCCAGTTCTTCTCTATGCTTACGTTCTCAACCTTACAGAAGCCTCAAGGATCTAGGAGTGAATGTCAACTCTTCTCCTGTGTCTACTATCCTTTCTCATTCTATAAGGTCTCCCCTCTTTGCAGATCAGGAGATGTTGCAAGGCACTGGCTGAAACGTAAGGGAACAACTTTTATTTTGAAACCATTTGAAGGAAAATCACCAAATTGTAATAACTTCTGCTTAGAGAAATTCAGACTGAAATGACTCTTAATGACAAAAAAAGGACACCTATGAATGCTATTTTATCAAGCTATAAAAATCCATAGGGTGACATTCTTCAAAAGAGTAAGCAATATGAACTCATATACTGTTCATATTTTTTATCATTTTAATCTTATTTCTTCACAGTTATATCCATATAGAATCCCACTGCTGTGAAACTGAATGAACTGTAATTTTGCATTCCAGTGGTGTCAGTATACTGCTAATAGATAATAGCAGAACACTGTAAAGCTATAAAGGGGTTAAAGTAAAATAAAACATTAACATGCCTTTTATTGTTGTAATATAATTGGCAGGCTTATTTTATTACAGGAATGAACTCCAAGAGTACGCAGAAATGAAAGAAAATGAAGAGAAAAGGAAAGACCTAGACAAAAAAGAAAAGGAAAAGAAATACCAAGCCCGAAAGATGCATTACCTCCTTAGCACTGAGCAGGTTGGTACACCTGTCCCTGACAGCTCATGCAAACCACTTGGGCCCCCAGCCTGACAGAGATAAACTAGCAGGCTGAATGGGACATGACTTGTTGAAAAGATATCACAAAGACACTACTTCGAGTTCAATTTAGTGCTTTTCTATAGGCAAGAGCAGGTACCATGACTATTCCGTGACAGCAGCTTCATAGAGGCAGCATCAGCACTGCTGGCAAAAAGAGTCCAAGTCAGCAGTTTGATCTGCCACTGTGATAACACAACACGAAGGGCATAACCTCCCTTTAAAAACTCATTTTGACTGGCTTATTGTTGTGTTGTTGCACTTGTCAAGAACTAACAAGTTATTAAGCTGAGAAGGGATTTCATTTTTTTTCCCCTTTTTTTAATTGAGCTAATGCTTGGATTGGTGCTGTGTTCTGCTTGTTTTCAAGATAGATTGTAAATGCAGGTTTTCAGCTAAAGCTTTTCCTAGAACTGCCTGAATCAGCTTATTTAGTGTGATTGTTTTCACATAGAAATGCCTTATAAATTTTAAATATTTACTGATTAATTTGTTTTGTATTGATAAAAATGGTATATTTTTTTCAAGCTTTCTTATGTAAGCTGCTTTACAGACAGGTGAACATGGCAGTAGATATACAAAATTGGTAAAGCTTGTGGGTTTGACTTTTTTTAGTCCCCTTTTGTGAACTTCTGTTAAAAAAAAAAAAAAAAAATTGTGTCCATAAATGCTTGGTGACTGGTTATTCTTCATATGAATAAGGACTTAATGTGCAATCAGAGTATGCTAGTATGAACTAAGTGCTTGCTTTTCATAGGTTGTTACTTTTAATCTGTGTTTAAGAACTGTTAATCCTAAAGAACGCAGGAAAAATACCATGACACTTAGTGACAGAGTGTTTAATCTTTCCCTCTGGGAATCATTCGTGATCTATCCAATAAACAGAAATGTAGTTTAATTAAACTGGATATGAGTTAATGAAAACTCAATTTGTAAATTAAAGTAATTTTATTTGCAAAAAAATAGCATAGTAAAATAATAGTTAAAAAATAGCATAAAAAGTTTTCTGAGTGGCTTTTAGACAGGGGAGCTAGTTAATACCTGAAATTAACTCACAATAATCGATTTCTCCAGATGTAGATCTAGAATATTAAGAATAATCTGCACAGTGTTTTTATATTATTTTAAACCGTAGAAAATTGGGAATTCTTGTTTTGAACAGAACAATTTATATAAATAAATGCATCAACATTACTATGTTTACCTGGAGTACAAAACTTGTCACTTCTTATGATACTGGCTTAGCAAACTGTAACACATTTTTAAGGAATGCCAAATAGTGCCTTATTTCAGCCATCCACCTAAAGGACTGCTAGTAGAGGGCAGCAGTAACTATTATGTTCTAATGAATTTGGATTTCTAATTTTACAGAATTAGAATTTAGCTAGCAGTGTTTTGTAGAACAAAAATGTGCTTGTTTTTTCTTGCTGAGATGGCTTGTGAATACTGAGGCTCAGACCCCACAGTATTTTTCCTTTATCACAGAACTGTGCTCCAAGAACCATCTTCTCTTGCAGCTAGTATTTTAAAGCATGAATGAGTGTAAATCAATGCACCACCTACAGACAACCTGAAAACCAGCAAAGATATATATGAAGCAGACTACTTATTGCAATCAAAGTCTGTATTCCACAATTGCACATAGTTATAGAATTTGATATCTTGCTAATATACAGGGCAACTTATTTCAGTACAGAATTTACTAGTTTGATACTCTGTCTGACATTTTACTCTCTATATGCCTGGTCTTCTGATCTGACTACAGCTGCATCTTGCTGTCTTCCAAGGATAGTTAATTGGATTACTGAGCATGGTCCATTCATGTCTCAGTAGAACCAGGCAGCAAAAGTCAGCACTTTTGAGTGAGCTAAGGAAAAAATATAATTTGTAAGCAGGGGGCCTAGCAAATGAAAAGAGGAGGTTGACGGGCTGGACTTATTGTAGACATATTAACGTATTAACTAAAGCCCACTAAGTTGTAGAGATGATCTGCTAAAGTTTGCTACAATCTCCTCCCTTTCCTGCAATGCATAACGAGGTGCAGTGATGGAGTTGAGCCACCTCATGCATCAAGGCTGCAGATGTTCAGGTGGGTTATATGGACAGCGTTGCAAAAATCTGTATTTGCAATAACTGTTTCCAATACATCTTATAGTTTTGAATCTTTATAGTTTAGTACAGGCAAAAAGGCTGAGAAAAGGGTGTTTTCTTATTGCAGAAAGGAATTAAGGACTTCTTGCTCCTCAATTTTATTAAAGAAATGCATGTCAAGTTCCATTCTCCGCTCCCTACAAGCTGAAGCCCAGAAACCCATCTCAGAAGTGCGTTACAGGTTAAATAGGGAGATGATCAAACATCGTAGCATTGCACAGTGTAGCAGATGATATAGTGGCCCTTTCTAGCCTTAGTTGATGATTCCCTTATTGATTGCAGAAGTTGCTCTTCTTATTCCACAGATTTTTTATATATATATAAGGTTGTGCCCATTCCTAATTGCTAGCATTATTTTACATTTCAAAAAGTAAAACTTAGGAATGCTAGTGTCATGAAGGTACAGAGGTGTCTCGTGTGTCTATAATAGCATGGCCTATGATGCAGTCAACATATTTGGTCTTTTTCATTAATTAACTTGCTATTCAAGCATTTATTTCTTCCATAAACTGTTACCTTTATAATAAAATAAAAAAAAGAGGGAGAAATGGATATCAAACTCTGAATTAGTATGCATTATTTGTTGTTATTGGTACCAGGTATATACACATAGTCTTATACAGACAGATGTGAGCTTGCTTTGATTACTTTCCAAGCCAATCTGGAGCTATAACATGGGGCTGAACCCAAACTAATTAGCCCTGTTGAGAGCCACGCTATATTAGCTCAAGAATTAATGCAGTTACACAGCTTCTGGTCAGCTCAAAATACAGGCAGACTAAATGTGTGCATACTTTAAACTCAGGAACAAGGAGTTTGATCTGCCTACAAAGTATTATATAGGCATACCTACATTTAAGTTGTTTTGCCTGCAGTTCCCCACCTTTCTGGGGGGAAGGTGTGTGTATTGAGTACCATTGCTATGAAACTGGCTTTCAGGGAAATCATTGGATGATAAAAAAATGCATGGTATTTGTGGTGGGTTGA